AATACCCTCCCCCCTCATCTCCTTTAAAATTGAGAAAAAAAAAGTCTGTGATAAAGAGAGTAAATAAACGAGCTATAGAAGCTACTTAAAGAATGATCGTTAATAATTTAGAACTTTTACTGAGGTAATTTCTATCACATCGTATGATATTAGAATGAAATTAAGCTTTCAAATATATATATTTACATACAATTAACAATATATTTTAATATATTGATGGTAAAGACTCATGTTTTTCAAACCATTAATATTCATCCAAAATTTATTATAAAATACGACGTTTTATTCTGAGAAAATTCCGATAAATGAGGCATTTTCTCATTAAATTAATTAATTTAACGAGGTACTAAAAACTCTTGAATACTTGTTTTCAAATCATAAGAAATCAGTCCACATAATTAAAGAGGTGGCCTACAAAAATGTTTTTCCGTGTGGCTTATATAACCATGTTCTTTTTTCTACATTACAGTAACCCTGTAATGGGTGCATATATTTCTACGCGACTATCTTGCGACATAACGCGTATTGAGATAGTTTAAGTAACACAGTATTGATATATTACAATTCTTTAAGTAGTTGGAAAATAAAATAAATAAATGTATATAGCAAATTAGAGTAACATAAGTAAAATAATTAAATATAATTTACAATAACTGAAATAATGAACAATAGTGATAAATTAGAGATTAGATAGTGAAAAGTAGAATGTTTACAACAGAAATGTGGTATGGCAGGATAAGAACAATAGATAAAGATTTAGGGTAAAAACTAAGGGTTTGAGGCTATATTTACAGGGTATGTACGAGTTAGTAAAACAATTGATGTAGGAAATGTTATTGAGGGGTGATTAAGCAACCGTTTGATATTAAGCTCAGAGAAATCAATTCGTTCCAAAAATGCATCAAATTGTAAGGAATATTTTTTTATCAGATCCTTCTTTGAAGGCGGCCATTGGTCTCCATTCACCATGACAGCAGAGACCAATTTGTCTGTATTTATCCAGTCTAGTGCAGTCATACTGTGAACATACTGATGGTTGTATGTTTGCTCATTGTTGCCGTGGCATTTGCAAATTTTGCTTTCGCTTAACTTAAATCTGAATAAGTAGCTTTTGGCTGCTCCGTGTCCTGTCAAAAATAGAGTTAGTTTAGGTGATACTTTTTTAAGTTTGGTTCTTTCTCCTAAATTTTGAAAGTAGTCGTAAGTGTGTCTGTCTTTTGTTGATGTCGCTCAGATTTGGTCCCACGCTTTTCTTGTTGCTGTTGCTATATAACCATATATAACCATGTTGGGGGTTGAAGTCACGCCAAACAGGCAAATATTTTTGTAGGCCACCTTTGTTATCAGTTGTTATCTCGAGATTTAAAACTCCCAATGTATAATAATTTCCGTAAATGGAAATGATCTAGGTTATGATGAATATGAGTAGATAAGATGAAGCTTTATTCTGAAAGCAAGACTGAAAAGACTCACGAATTGCTACATAAGGTTAATCTTTAAGACTGGCAGGCGTATCCATGTATCCCTCTCACCGATTTGGAATGGCTTTATCCAACTTCCTGACGGAAATTAATGTTTTCCTTTTCCAAGTCCTCAGAGCCGAAAATCCTCCCTTTATCCTAGAACTCCTTAGTCTAAGTTCATCTACCCACTCTTTTAATACCGGATCTCAATCGATAGATCTATATACCTTCTCTCATAAAAAAACTTCTAGCAAATCAATCTTCATTTGTGCTACCTTATTTCGAAACTCCTTACATATCTCCAAACGTCAAACCACGACCACGCATTCCTGCAAATACTTCCTATTCCATCACTTACTACACATTCGAACCTCCGCAAGCTTGTAAGATTTTTTAGGTTATATAAATACAATTGCTCACCAAGAGATCCATTTTGTTTTTATATTTATTTATTTATTTTTCTCGCTGAATTTTTGGTTTATATCGGTATCTTTTTTTTTTAGTTATATTTTTATATATGTGTATTATATCTACTTGCCAGACCGATATTTCTTGAATTCTGTTTTTATTCCAAAGGGAGTTTAGTTCCAGAATAAATTAATTTTTAGTTCATTCATACAACACTACTTATCATTATTAACTATTATATCTTATATAATACTATATCTTTGATGATATAACTTTTTGAGCTCTGATAATTACCCGCAAGCTTGAATTAGATCGTTGGCAATAAAAATCTTAAATCTGACCATCTATCACCCATTACATTTTGGAATAGTATATTTTAATAAGAACTTATAAAAAAAAAATCATAAAAAAATACCACAATAACTTTGAGGTAACCTATCTCAAAACAAACTTAATTTTACTTAACTTCTTTATTGATCTAGCCCATCGATTATTTTTTGTTTATTTGTTAAACAGAAACTTTACTCGCTACTTTTCTTCAAAGGAGACCACTTTTATTTAGCGATTGGTCCATCAGGAATGTCTTCTGATCCAGAGAACCATGAAGATAGCGATCAGAGGGATAGACACGGCTGAGGAAGTTGAAGAGGAGTAGAGGACAATAAATAGAAGGAGATGTTTCACGGCCAGTTAGCTACGGACCCAGGACCTATTTCAGCCTCCACTGCGTCTTATTCTAGCAGCGTCTTATCCTTCCCTCCTTTTAGATTTAATCCATCAATTGAAAGAATAATTCCATGCGATAGCAGCATATTCAGGGTGTCCCCTAAGTAGAGGGAAATATTTAAAAGGTTAATAGTAGACATAAAAATCTACAAAAAAGTTCATATAAAAAATTGCCTGATTTCTACCAGAAAAGTAGGACATTCAAATGAGTTTCTTGTTAAATAGGAAGCAATAAATGAGAAAAATATTTGATTTAATAATTAAACATAGTGAACCAGACAAAATTTACTTTTAACGAAAGTAGAGTTTGTCATTGTATTTAAAACTATTTAAAGAGGACTATTCTGCGGGCAAACACAGCTCCTTCCCCTTTTAAAAAAAGTCACAAATTATATGTGATTTTTTAAATTTTTTTTATCACGTTTCAACTATACTACATTTGAAAAAAACACGCCCTCGTTTTATAAGCTTTAAGTCCATATTAATTAAATTAAAATTTAATTTTGAGATTCACTCCAAGTTGTGTAAAGAAATGATTCCCTATCCAGTCACTTTAAAGTACCCATATTTTCAGAAAAAATGACTATAATTAACTGTTGCAAATCTTTTACTTCTTGTTTTTCCTTGATATGGGATGTATTATAATAAAAATAATTGCCTAAAAACAAATTTCATGAATAAATTTTGTTAGTCCTTATTTTTTTTTTTTTTAAATTCTAGTTCATCAAGATTTAGATTAATCGTAATTTATTGTTGTAAGATTATATATTGTTTTTGTCAGTTGATTATTATATGGATTTTAATGATGTAGAGATGGTTGACCGTGATATAATATGAGAAGGAGTTGATCGGGGGCTGCGGTCAAATAAATACTAAATTATACAAATATTATTATTTAATTTATTTGCTGACGTTTCGACCCACTTTGCAGGTCTTAATCAGGGCTACAAAAGATACAAAACAAGTGAAAATAAAATAAATAAGTATAAAATAAGAAGAAGTTGCCTGATAAAGAAATAAAAAGATGATATCAGAGATATAGTGCGTGACAATGTAGTTAAAATATCAAGTATAATATATATATTTATATATATATATAGAAGATACAAAAAAAAATGGAAATAAGTATGAATAAAAATATAAAACAAAGGAGAATATAGCATGTAAGTTAAAAGTAAACAGATTGCGATAAAAAGATAAGGAATGAGTGTATAACAAACAAACAAAGATTACATTTGATAACAGTAGGTTAACAGATAAAGAAAATGAATGTTAACAAATAAAGAGATTGAAAATTGAATAAGTATTAATATAGTAAAGCTAAAATAACAATAAGATAACATAATAATAAGATATCAGTGGATGATAAGCTAGTGGAGGTTACATTTGATAACTGTAGGTAAACAGATAACGGAACTAAAGGTTAAGAAATAAAGAAATTGAAAGATTAATAGGATAACATTATGGATAATATGGAACAATATGGATTTTAATTTTTTAATGTTGCATTTACATTTTTTTTTTTGTGGCAAAATATCTTAATTCAGAAGCTTAACATAAGTTTTGATAGGATTTTGATGTATTTATATTATTAATTAAACAAATAGATGATTTTTCCACGTTTTTAGGTTTTTTTTTTGGTTTTTTTTTTAATCTGTTTATTGAATAATAATACAATCAGCCACTGCTGGAGGGCTATAAGCATTAGGGCTACAAGTTCTCATTCATATAATATATACAAATAATAAAGAAATAAATATAAATATAATAAGTAAATAAATAATATATAAATATAATAAGTAAATAAATAATGTTTTTTTTTTTTTAGGTTTAAATTCGACAATTTTGCTGAACGATTTTGCACATTTTGAGTTTTTTACCGCACATTTTTCGGAATTTTATTGCACGAAAGTCCGGTTTCTAGTTATTAGTTTGTGAATATAGAATATAAAAAAAATTATATTTCATATTATTAATTCCGCCTTGTTGATGTTTTCACTTTTATCGTGTGGTTTTAATCACACATCGAAGTTTTTCTTAAATTAAATTAATTATTTTTTTTAAAAATAGTTTACTTTCTTTTTTGATCTTCATTAATCCACAAGCTCTAGAAGAGAATCATATTGAATTCATTTCTTTTCACAATGGATTCCCTGCTGTACTCTGACTGATTCATTACAAGCTACAATATTAATGCGAAAGCTGCTCTTTAAAATTCTTCCACGAGAAAAGTCTTGCCATTCCCGAGGGAACACGACTCCGAGACAATAAAGAAGCTGGTTCCAACAGGAACTTAACGATAAACGGCCAATTAAGACATCATTATTCCAGAGTGCCTCGTTAGCAGCTTTTTATATAGCGGCTTTTATTACTGTTTTATCGTTTGATTATAGCAGACAATAGGCCAGGAATAGCGGTCCGCAGCACACCACAATGGCCGCCCTATCAGCTAATACCCTGCCCCGCAGCCTGTCAATAATTCGGGACGATTGTTCTCGTTGCGAAGGCAGACCTAATTGGATGAATGTTGCCAAAATATTGATGTCTTCTGGAGGGCTAGCTTGGGTAATTGTTAGTGGTTGGGCTACACTTAACTATGATATTGCAAGGTCGATGGGTAGGTCTTTTCGAGTTAATAGTAGAGTCGTCTTTTCGATAGATCGATACCGCAATATTTTATGAACTAATCGACTCGATAGTCAGTATCAGTGCCGTTTAAACGTTAAAGGGAATGAACAAAATTGGACGTTCTTAAGCAACAACCTATCATCTTCAATAACCACGAATCGATTTTTCATTTCATATTTAGACCATTTTTCATTAATTTTTTTTTCATTTCAGTTACCTATTAAGAAATATATATGAAGTCAAAGTATTGCAATCATGAAAATTTTCGAATGTGAGTTTTCAACGAAAAAAACACTTTTTCAGGTTCTTAGAATCACTAAATCAAATCAAGTCCCGCAAAATCGTCTGTTTATGTGTATCTCTACGACTTAATACTAGAAAGAAGCAATCACCAGTTAGCTAGTCAAATACAGTAAAAAACATGATATAACATTTTTTTCGTTATTAGCGATAGTTAAGGACGGATATCCTGAAATTTAAGTGAGATAACGGAAAGAGACCGATAACCAATCATACTCTGAATTTTATCAGCTTTAATTTTGTGCAGATTGTATTTGTCAATGCGATGGATATTTTTCCTGATATCAGCGAAAATCAAAAAAACACCAATGAGACAAATTGTTTTTTTCTCAAAATTAACGATAGTTGACGATGTATATCTCGGAAACTAAACGAGGTAGCGATAAAAGGTATATAATCAATCATATTGCAAAATTTATCAGCTTTAATTTTGTTTTGGACGTCTTTGTCTATGCGATGGGTAGTTTTCCTAATATAAGCGAAAACCCGAAAAAAAAAATTACCTTCTAGTCACCCTTCCCACTCCTAACCTCCCACATCTGGTTCACCAACTAGGAGTGGGGACTTTTAGTATGTTTACCTCCTTACTAGTCCAACCAATGTCCCGAAGTCAAAAATTGTGTTTCCGCCATTTCCTTCTATAATCATTCATGGAGTGGACTATTAAGACATTATCCAGAAACGATTTCAAGACTTATATAATTTTTGTGGTTACCGGGTCACTCAGATATCAGAGGTAATGAGCTAGCCGATATCATGGCAAAACAAGGAATTACAGAAGGAACTCCAGTAGGGGATGCTTTTCCAAAAGAAGTAGTAGCTTTGGTAAAGAGAAAGGCTCTGGAGAAATGGCAGGGTCTCTGGCATGTTTTAAGAGAGAATAAGTTGAGAGTGATCGAGCCCTCTGTAGTTCCCAATCGAGCGGACCTTCAGATAAATAGAAGAGAAGAAATAATACTGACAAGGCTCCGAATAGGCCCCTCACGGCTAACTCATGAGCACCTGATGAGAAAGGGGACGCCCCCTCAGTGTCTCTGCTGCGGGGTCAATTTAACAATCAGGCACATTTTGACTGAATTTTATGGATATGAAAAACAACGTAATGAAGTAGAATTGGAGAACGATATAACTGAAATTCTAAAAAATCCTACCAAATTGGCAAAAAAAAGTCTTTAAATTTCTTCAAATAACGCACCTTTACAACAAAATTTAAAATTTGCTGACTCTTTTTTTGTTTTAAATATTTTATGCTTTCAATTTATTGTTAAATTTAATTTGATCTAAAATTAATGTAAAATAAGTATTCTGTAAGGGCTAAAATGACCCGTAAGAGGTTAAGGAGCCCCGCCATTGTTGTAAATAATAAATAATAATTTTTAAAAACGATCAACATATAGGACAAAATCTAATGAACCGCAAGATACTACAGTGTAAATGACCCTAGTGGTCGAAATACTTGAATAAATGAATTTATTTTTAGAATAGTATTATGAATATCTTAGGGTGGAAGATCGATCTCTAATGTTTCCCTCTTTTTCCTTAAACAATCTTTTTGAAACAGTGACAGAACTGCGAAACAAGGCTACTCCGTTCTCCCCTGTAAACTTTTTCAAGTAGGGAGTAAACGCCCCCCCCCCCTCCTTAGTTGCGAAGAGAAGTGGACATCTGTTGCTGCCGATCAATCTCGTCGAAGAGGAACCTTAAGAATTATCTCAAGGGAGATCTCCCACACAGCCGGCAATAAGATTTAGAAGCTGGCCATGTTCCAAGATTGTAAAGCTGTCATTCAGTAGAGCTAATAACTAGCGCAGACAAATAGTCTCAGGATTTATATCCTCCAGGACCTACCTAATCAAATGCGTATCCTTTCATCTCCACAAAGGACCTCTTCATCAACTCTTTCATTGTTCTTCGGACTCATTAATGAGCCCCGATCTACCTTCCCTCATTGCCATTATACACTCGTCGCATTCATCCCAATTAGTCCAAATTATTAGCGGATTAAACTAAGAGGCGAGGGTATTTCCTGCGTAGGTTGAGCGTAGAACGCCAATTAGAGTGACAAATTGCTCTACGAATAGTCTGGGCGGGTTCGAGACCGGACGGAATTACTGCATAATAAACTACAGCCCTGGCTCCTTGAGCTGAGGAAGACCTAAATAATGATGGAGTAATGTCTTTAAAAATATCTTTGGCTCTACTCCTCTTGGACCATTTGTTCGGGTAAAGGTTTATAGATTGTGGGACACCTTTGCCCCCTAATATATTACAGTTATTGTATTTAAAGTAGTGATAATGTATTTCATGTAATTATTATTATAGTCGAGTAGTCTAAAGTTGATTGCTCGAGACAAGACCTGGGCAAAAGCTATTATAATTATTATTTTAAAACATACTGTATTATAATTGAATAAAGGTATTTATTAAATAGGTATTAATTAGGTAATTAAATAGCGTTTTTTTAAAACTACTTTTAATAATAAAAATATGTTATATTTAAACATAAAAACGTGGTGTTTTACTATTAATACCTTAAAATATAAGTTTATTTTTGCGAGAAAAAGAGTTATGAGATTACGTGGTCTAGGTTTGAAAAGATTCTAACTAACATATTTATAGTTATGGTACTTAGCAATGGCATATATGATATTTTCATAATTTTTTAGAAAAAACGCAAAAAACTATTATACTAAAACTACAGAAGATAAAAATTCTAAAAACATATATAGTGTAACAAAACAATTTTACATTATTTGTGTTGGTTTTAGCTTGTTACATATCGTTAGATGATTAGATTTTTTTTTTGATTTTTTTAAATAATTAAAAGATATGTTTAAATAATTCATAACACTTTAATTACAAATACTCTAAAAGTTTTTTAAAATGGTTTAGAAGTATAGCATTGCTACTGAAGTAAATAAATTATATTTCATTTAACTCAAAAAGGATGAAATAATTTATTAAATCATTTTGTTAAAAAAACAAGATAGTACGAAATATTTTTATTTAATTCGGGCATTCGATTCGTCGTACTCTCCATGAAACTTCTAGGTATTGTACAAACAAAATTGTTTGCCTAAGTTACAAAATATTCATACTACAGTAAATTGAAACTTTGTAACTTAATATTATTCCGATATAATATTATTTGGTATTCAAAATACCCTTTACTTTCCGACCTTCAACAAGAATTTTAAATACAAACGAATATAAACTCACTCATAGAGACTAGAATAGATGTTTATAATTTGAAAAATCCAACCACACAACCGTCGTGTGTCTGAAATGCAGGTAGGTATTCTAATTTGCATTTGCATTTCGCCATTTTGGTTGATTATTTTTAATAATGAACCATTGTAATCGAACTAAAAATTCAAAAACTTGACCTACTTTCAAAATTTGAGGTTTTACCTTTCAGGATACGTAGAATTCAAAAAATGAATCAATTTTCTTTTTTCCGTCCGCCGTCCGCGCATTTTCTCCGAATGGACTACTGGACCGATTTTTTTCAAATTTGGATTTAAAATTAGAGGTCACCAAAGGGTGATCCTCCTTCATTTCCATTAACTCAAAAAGTATACAATTTTTGTTGGTACTGTATTATGATTATTTAAAAGTTGACGGAATTTCTTAAAAAAAAAAAAAAAAAAAAAAAAAAAAGAAAAGAACGTTAACATCGAACAATCAGGAGCAAAGATATGGCCTCTAGATGTTTTTTATATATTCTACTGCAATGGTTATATCCTTTGTTTTGGTTTTTAATTTTTGAATAAGTTACTGAAGTAATGCTATTTTTTTTATCAAATTACTAATGATTAAAAAATGTTTAGTCCAATAATTGGATTCACCTTTTATTTCTTTTTCTTTGTCACGAGGAAGATAATGTACTTTAGATGTATAATTGTTTGGAAATAATAAACCATTGTGAAATAATTTGCAGCGTTTTTATTTTGTGATTATTATTATTTATTTTCTTCTTATTGATTGTACTTTTTTTTTATTTTTGCAGACTTATATATTTTGGTTGGACGTTAGACGTTTTGTCACTTGTTTTTTTTTCCTGATCAGCTGTTTGACAATAGCCATCCTCAACTGTGTTACCTCATATTTCTTTCAGTATTTGATTGGATATTATGTAGTGATGTGTATTTGGGTTTGTTTTGTTTTTTCTATCCTTATGATGCTTGAATTGGCTGTTCAATTTGTATTTTATCTGTATTTTACAGACATAAGAGTGTGTGTTTTGATATTTTCTAACTATAACCTAACAAAAAATTTAAATATATATCAAAGTAAAAACCTTGTACTTTATATTTATATTTAGTTGTGTTATTGGAATGAAAGCGCCCGATATCTAAAAATTGCCTACCCTACTTCCAACATAACAGAGTCAATATACAAGTGTGTATATATCGATATAGGCATCGATATATAGATCCATATAGGGCCTATATGGTGGGGTCTTTTACCGGCACGACAGCTACATACCGTTGACTGTTCCGCTCGCCCTGAAAGGAGACACCATTCGCTCACTTATTCTATTGTCGTGCAGTTATCCTTCGACAAAAGGACTCTCGTATCCTGGAGGATATAACAAGAGGGTGGTTGGCCAAATATAGCTCGCCTGTTATTTTTTAGGCCATTCCCTCTCACGTCACCTTGTTACTGTCTTCCAGCTACTAATAGAATCATTATGTACACAGTCTACTCTTTATTGTTTATATGCCATTATAATAATATCAAATCTGCAATATATATATATATATATATATATATATATATATATATATATATATATATATATATATAAACTTAACTATTTAATTGGGAATAAGGTCACTTAAATATTATTTAGTAAACTATTGAATGTTCATTTCTTCTGCTTATTGACGTTTCGATTCCGGTATTTTCTTTTTATTAGTCAATCATCGGATCCTCTTCAAAGCTAGAATTTTAAAAAATAGAGCTTCGATCAGGCCAGGGACACACCGACAGTCTCAGCACCGTCCACCAGCACATATATTAAGCTACTCTAGAGGTATATATATATTAGGGAGATCGCTATATGTATTTGGCAGTTACTAAATGTATTATATATTCTCACTACTTTTTACCCATAAATCGAATCCAATAAAATAATACCGCTCAGTTTGTTGATTATTCGTTATTAATTTGTACGTTATGGGGTATCCTTGTCCCCCACTTCAGCATCTAAAATTCTATTAATAATACATCCTAGGTTCTATTCTGAACCCGTCATTCTAAACTTCAAAATGAATACCGAAATATTGAAACGAACTGAGCGTGGTTACTTCATTGAATTCGAACAATATACAAAAACTTGTAAAAAGATATTTTGTGAAAAAAATGTAGAAAATAGAAACTGATAAATATAATATATTAATGCACCGAAGATGGTGGGATTTGAAAATTTTATTTTATTTATTTATTTGAACTATATTAAAATGAAAATATATACAGTAAATGTGAATACACATGAAACGAATTGTTGATGATCTGCCCAGTAGTAGCAATCAAATAATATTTCTACGTTAGGAGATCACAATCTTCTTTTCAGACGCCTCGGAGGGTTCTCAGAAATCGAAGAAGGAAGGTTCGAATGATTCGGAAATTTATTATGGAAAGATAAGCATCTAGATCGGACCATATTGTAAATATATGTAACATTGAGGTTATTATAGATGATTTTATTTGTGGCACAGTAAGGAGTATTGAGAATTTTGGATTATAAGAGATGGAAACGAGTAAGTCCAAATAGACCTGATTATAGTGATATATTTAAGTTTTGTGTAATTAAGAGCATTTTCCCAATTAACAAATTGAAAATTGAAATATATTTCGTAAAATTAAAATAAATTGAATAGGTCTGGTGTTGTTAAATTTAAATATTACAAACACAAAATATTGCCAGTAAATGTAGGGCGAATATATTGAAATTTCAATAAAGAAAAAAAAAATATTCCATATAGGTATAGGTAAGTGAAAGTAATTTTTTTATATAAAAAACGTAAAGCATATTATTTGTGACAACTTCGCAGTTTTAAAACAAATTAAAATAAACCTATTTGGAAATCCTTATTTCAAATCTCAATCATTATCTGAACATTGTCAAATATAGCTGTCAAATTTACCTTAACTATTCACCGGAGTATAAAAATACTACTGTGAGCGTTCAGAACCAGACAAATTCAAACCTAGTGTCACCTATCAATAAATCTTTTCTAACCGAAATATGACAACGTTAAAAAAACCAATGATATCAAAACAAAGATCATGAAAGATTATTATTTTTCAAGAAAACAAGTGGATGTTTCTTGGGCTCAGAGCGATTTGTATTCATTTTCATAACATTTAAGAGAAACTCACAAATGACTTGTTAATAAACAAACTACAAAGCTTTTTAAAATGTCTCTACGAATTCTTGGAGGGATGTGAGACCTGGTGTTGTGCCAGTCCCCTGTCAGGAATACCTGATGCTTCGTCCTCAGTGTTAATTATCAGTGTTCCTCGTCCAAATAATTTTCTTCTTTCTTTGTTACAGTTCATCCATTAGTTTCGTCCTATTTACAAAAACTTAAGAGCTGAGGACTGTACATTATTGAGAAAAAATATTTATATGTACCAAATACCATATTTACAATTAGACATTTGCAAATATATTAATTACAAATATCAATATATAACGAACAATTCCGAATCCGGGTTTTCTGAAGAAATACACGTTGTTAGGTCATCTGAATTAAAATAACTCAGCTTCGTAAATTGGTATGTGTTGTATGAAACTGTAATAACGTATTTCAGATAAGCATTCGAGGTGAAGCTATAAAAAAAATATGACTGATACTGTGAAACATTTTATTTATATTTTATTAAAATTTACTTAATAACCGTTTAATAATAAAATAATGTATTGGTGATTTCTGAGAAAAAAATAATTTTTGATTCGGTTAAATAAAGTAGACTATATAAAATTAACTTTTCTTATACAATAATGGTACAATAAAATTATTTTATTTTTTTAATCTTCATTTGAATAAATCTGATAGAAAAAAATTTATAATAATTTTTTTTAAATATAAAGATTCATTGCATATCTGAAAGAAAACCCCGGTTTCGGAAACCATAAACTCATTTTCATAATACTTTTTTTAGTATTTAGGTTTGTTAAAAAAAAAATTCATTGGATTTTACATATCGATTCCCATGTTACCCGGATTTCTGAAAAAAAAAATCGATTAGGATTCAGTTTGGAAATAAACTGCTCTTATATAGTAATTGACAAGGATGTCCACAAGGAAGTTTCATGGCGTTCATCCCCTCAATTTTTGAGGGGGTATATTTTGACTGGTTTTTGAATTTTTGAGGGAGACAAATTTGGACGGGCTTGTGAATTTTCGGGCTAAGGAACGAGGGGAAAAACACGGTACATATTGCAGCAAGTATAATTGTATATGATCTACGATTTTTCTAATTCTATCTTTTTTTTTTTTTTTTTTTTTCTTACCCTCCAAAATGTTTATTGAAACAATTACATATATAGTATACAATATATACATGTAATAAATTCCTTCCACTGCCCGAGGGCATTTTAAGAATTGGGGATAGCTAGGATTGGGGGTTACTTATGTGGCAGAAGGCCTTGTGACTTTGACATTGAACGGGGAAGGACCGTTCTGCTAATTTTTTATTATTTACAATATATACAAATTAATGAGTCTAATTCTATCTTAGCTTGCTCTGTTTTTTAAGAAAAGATGAGCAATAAAATATCTTGGGAGGAGGGGAGAACCTACTTGCGCCACCGAATTGGGGGGAGAGATGAGCACCACTGGTAATTGTAACAATGAAGTTTAAAATATAGGCAAACTGATTGCATCCTTTCCACATCATTTGGATTTTCCTTTTGCCTGATTAGGATAATTGTTCCAGAACTTAGGAGTCAATCCTCCATCGAATAATTCCATCCAATTGGACCATTCCTTCTGCAGGTTGTTGTACATCACTACCAAGAGATCTTGGACCGAGTTGGCCTTCATGTACTCGTTCGGAACGTACTCCTTGACGTTGTGGGTGATGAAGAACGGCCTCTGGTAGGTGGTGTAGCCGTGCCCGTAGACAAAGTTGTCGTTAGGCGGCTGAGGCACCGGGATGTGCTGGACCCCGCCGAGGTGGTCAGGTCGGTTGTATCCCAGGTTCGAGGCTGCGCCGGAGGATGGCTTTTGGGCTGGGTTCAGAGGAGGCTCCCTGGAACAGATGAAAATGGCAAAGTTTAAAAAATGTTCAAGTACTTTTAAATAACCCTAAAATTCAGCTCGCTATTAGTCCACAATTTAGAACTTTTTTTATAAAATTAATAACAATCCTCTGAAACTTTGTGAATGGCTCCATTTTGTCGTAACCTATAACATTTTTTATTCTCAGACATGTAAGAAAATTCTCGGAAATGGGTAAGTCTTCAATTTGAAGATCTGTATATAAAATAAACAAAAGCAAAATAACAATGTAAAATTAATTATTATAACAACACATATGGATCATCCACCTCCCCTCAGACAATGGTGCCTATGTTTAAATCTGGCCACCTTACCACAGTACTAAACTTCATTATGTGTAGAAATTCAATTACAATATTTTATTGACTGTCATGACAGTAGATAAAATAAATCTTACGTGAACAGATCGAGACATGCTTCTAATTCGGCTAAGGAGAAGTTGGCCCTCACTTGGTTGATGACAGCCAGTAACTCCTGCCTTGACCCGGTGAAGCCCACAGCGCCTTCGACTGCGTACTCCCCGGTGTCCCTCATCGTCGAATTGTACAGGATGTTGAATATGTCCTCCCCGAGGGTACAGCGTCCTGTCGGAGCACCCTGGATCTGGTAGAGTATCTGAAAGTAAAAGGAATAAGTCATAATTAGTAAACCTTTATTTGTAGAAATACTATAATACTAAAAGCTTCAGTAAAGCAATAAACCGATTACAGTACGATTCTTGAAAATAGGCGCATGAAACGCAGATTGGTACGTGCACAAGAACAATTATAAGCATGAGCACACTATTGCTAAAGCAGTAATTGTTTGGTGCCATAAAATGCACCTACGAACTTTCAACATAGCACTAGGTGATGTACGGGTTCCATATTACAAAGAACTAAAAAAAAAAATATCAATATAAAACATTTTTTTTTAAAACTATGTATTCAAGATATTTACAACTGTATTACAATATAAACACATCAAGTAAATGTGTACACAAGAATATAATCACTTGAAAACGCTTGTTGAGAAACTAACCATAGGTAGCACTCAAATAATATGTCTATATAAGGAGATCACGAGGCCATCTTCTTTTCAAACGCCTCGGTGTGTTATCAGAAATCGATGAGGAAGCAAGGTTAGAAACGAGAGGATTCGGATGGTTATGAAGTTTATTATGGAAGGATAGGTATCTGGATTGTACCAAATCGGATACATATGGAACATTAAGGTCATTATGGATTATTTTATTTGTGACTAAGTAAGGAGCATTGAGGATTTTACGAATAATTGGATACGAGAGGAATTTGATGGTTTAGTGGAGCCTCATAGCTCAACTACGT